GACTATGTATGCTACAACCTGTAAAGTAGACTGGTAGTCATGACCAAGATTTAGCAAAAGCTATAGTCTGTGGATTTACTGGATGGCTTAGAGGTTGGTGGGATTTCCACATGAATGATCTCACTAAAAATCAAATTATTAATGCAACAAAACAATGGGTAGTTAAGAATGAACACAATCAAGATATCCCTCACAGCGAAAGTGACGTTGTTAATATATTGATATATACGATCACTCTCCACTTTGTGGGAAGCACAGTATTATTAGAAGCACGATCAGTATATATATATATATATATATATATAGGCGAAAATGAATAGTGATTTTGCCTATCCTCATCACCGTCTAAATTTCATCGTCCGGTCACGATTATCTAAGAGTGCTTTATTTTTTCGTTTTTTTCTACAAATGTTAATGACCTGAAATTTGGAAGGTATGTAGATGCTACTGAGGCGCATCTAATAAAAATATAAAAAAAATTATCCGTAAAAATTAAATTGACCAAAATACGCCTGAAAGTTTTTGGTGGTATTTTGGTCATTTTTCATGTAAAATATTCTTTTTATAGTTTTCTAATATTCCCCTATTTTTGATAAATACACTCTCTAAATTTCAGGTCATTCTAATTTGTAGAAAAAAATAAAAAATAAAACACTATCGGACAATCATGACCGCATGATGAACTTTGGACAGTGATGGGGGTGGGCGAAATCACTGTTCATTTTCACTTATAGGATTTGCATTGTGTGTTTTCCTATATATATATATATATATGTATAATATTTAAATCAACATGACTTTATTGTGAAACACAGGTACCTAGAACATCTTTAACATTCCAGCAAGTTATCAAACATATACACTCAGAACTTCCTTAAATAACTTATTTTCTTCCCAACAAATATGAACTTCTAATTTTCAGGGGACTTTTACTTTCCAGTTATCAAATAGGCCCATAATGTTAGTTAACATTTATTACCGTTTGCAATGTCATTCGATTCTTGGTATACATGGGTAAGTAAGATCATGGCATAAATTAACTATCTCCGCCCAGATAGAATAAAATTTCTAGGGAGGTTTCCACTTTGTTGCACCAATTTATACTGTTCTAGTCCCCTTCACAAAAGCCACCACTTGAAAATTATCTTTGATACATCTCATGCTTTGTAATATACTCCGGAATTTCGCTTATTCGAAGTTGCAATCCATAAGGACTTGCATAAAAAAGAAGAATCACTCCACTCGCGTCTTTAGAACCTCTCCAAATCTTGCAGGCCTTGGATTTCCAAGAGAACTACCATTCAAATTAAGCTTCAAACGACCTTTTAGAGGTGGGCACCCTCTTCCCTTTGGTCTCAATTTCTATGATTTATTTAAGGCCATGTTTTTTAGATTCATCCAAATGTCAATCTTTAAAATACCCCTCCCTTCATCTGAAACTGAGAACCAACTCCATACTCCCAAAAAAATAGCCTGCTTTGTCTGTTTTGTCTTTTTCAAACTTCAACTTTTACCTTCAAAAGTTTTGTTGTTTCTCTCCCTCCAAACTTCCCACAAAATACCTGCTCGGAAAATAACCCAAATTGTACGTCCACATTTAGGTAACCCTGGAGTGTCCATTTGAAGCAGTAATTCCCCATAGCCCTTGGGAAACACCACATTAATGCCCAACTTACCTAAAACCCACCGCCAAATATCTCAGGTAAAGAAACAATGCAAAAAGAGGTGCTAGACAGTTTCCCCAACCTTCTTCGAGTCTATTGCTACTCTAGGAGTGTGAGTTTCTTCTTTTTTTTCTTTTTTTTTACCATCATATATCCATATTATTGCACAACATTTATAAATACCCACATATACCTACTCTCCTTACTATTTTATGTAATTTCTGGAAATTCCTAAGTAACAAATGTATTGAGAACATTTATGAATACCCATATTATTCAAGTCGAGTCTGGCTCAACCTGGACCCAAATAGTATTTGGGTCCAGGTTTTGGATGCAAACATAACCTTTCGGGCCCAAAATTTGGACCTATACCCATACCCGAGGTCAGATCTACCTGTTGGGTCCTGGATCCATTGCCACCCCTAATTGATAGGAGGAAACCTACCCCAAAAAAACGAAATGATTAGTAATTAACTATCAGATAAAAAAAAAAAGATTAGTACTAAAAATAGGGATAAAAGTATGATACCACTACACCAAAGATTGTTTCTTTTTTTTGACAATAATAAAGGATTGATATTACATAAATGATCCAAAGGGATACCAATTAGCCCATAGCTAACAGCTCAAGACATGCTAATACTAATGGAATTTAAAAGAACAACGAACGTCAGAACAGAAGCTTGTATAAATGCCAAGAGAAGAGATTAACTACGTAATAGCTCAAACGAGTATGGTGCATGGTAATCCATAGGTCATCAGAGGACACATTTGGAGTGGTGTAGAATGGTCCAACAATCTCTTGGGTGATGTTATAAATTTCCATCAACCATTATATGATTTGTGTAACTAAATTGGGATGCAGTTTCTTTAAAACGTAGGCTTTATAGAAACAAAGTAGGGCCTCACCTCGAATCCTCGTCCGGAAAATATTTTGCGCATCGGAAATCTTCAATGATGGCTTTAAAATCAATTTTCAGTACCAATTATGAAATTTGAAGCTTAAAAAATTGTACAAATTTTGAGTTCGAGCCTCTCTCACCCCAACTCGACAACCTCTTTATTTATCAAAAAAAATTGTACAAATTTTATGAATCCTTGAACGCTTATTTTTAGGGTGAAATAGATGATCTATATAATGTGTTACAATATATACTATTTATAATGAGTTTGAAGATGAGGCTTCACTTGTTTTGACAGGGCTACAACAAAGGCTACCATCGGACGGGGCTTGGAGCCGACCCGGCCCGAGGGTCGGTAAAGCCGAAACAACTATGGACCAGTGGGAGTGTAGTCTCTCGTGGGTTTATGTGGCTTTTAAAGGCCTTATGAATGCTTGTAAAATGAAATGATATAGTGGAACATAAACTCCGTGGGAGTGTGGTCCCTCGTGGACCATACTAAACAAACGATGGTTTGCTAATACCGATCTAGGCCAGTCGGTTGGGAAAAACCCATGTTACCTGGGCATGAAGAACAAACCGGTGAGGGTTTATGGGTTAGCTCTTGATGACGTCAGATAACATGCC